TAGAGTTTGTGTATAGCAACTACTATATTAGGTTTGCTATATACAGGAGGAATAAATCATTATTAACTGACTGAAAGAAGAGCATTTTTCCCTGTAAATCCATTTACGGTGAAATATACCACAGGTGGCACTGGTCTGCTATGGATACAAACTTGTAATAGTTGAGGCTAAAATTCAAGCACACAATGTAACCAAGCACCTGTAATTGTTTGATAAGAAACTGTGACTACTGTTAACTAGTCACACTTAATTCACACTTTTAATGAGATGGTCAAATGACCAGCCTGTGTCTGCAGCTCTATAATCCATGGTTAGTACAAAAAAAACACTACCAAAATATTTTTTTTAAAGAACAGCAGGTGTAAGGAGCAAAACTAATTTTTAACTTAATGTTAATTGTAGCACAGGTCATTTATTTATTTGATGCACATTATTATGGTGATCTGCGTGATCTTAAGAGTACAATATTAACAGAAAAAGATCATTTTGCAAATATTTTAAAGAAAAGCTAATATCTCATCTTTCTCTTTCCCTATCTTTTAACTAGGGCATAAAATGGCATAAAATGAATCTGTAATATGAAATTGCCCAGAAAAGGGACTTGTTTGTGACATGAGGCTAAATCTAACCATATCCATTGGTGAATTGTGACAGATGGAGGGACTGTGAGACAGAAGGCAGGCACTAATCACACATAAAATGACCGGCTTGCCTCAACATGTTCCATGGATTCCAGCAAACTTTACACCCTAATCCATTTTTAGAACAAAAAACATCTGGGCCATAAATCCTCTAATCTGCCAAAACACGCTATTAAATCCCATGATTTGTTGAAAAACACTAAGATTAAAGAAAGGAAATATAAAATGGCTAACTGCCGTGTTAGGAAAGTGTTATTAATACTCTTTCTTTGTCTCAATTATGAATGTTCTGGTACTAAAGAGCCTTGTCTAATCATGTCAGATTACACATCCTTGTTGTATTGCTAGACTCTTCTATCTGATCTGCTGATTGCCAAACAACACAGAATATTTTCTTGCTGCTTACACATTTCTATTGAAGAAGCTGATGTCAGATTAGTGCAGGGCTTCACTGCTGGCAGTTTCCTAAATGATCCATGCCTTTTTCTCTCTTCGAGACTCTTCTATCTGATCTGCTGATTGCCAAACAACACAGAATATTTTCTTGCTGCTTACACTTTTCTATTGAAGAAGCTGATGTCAGATTAGTGCAGGGCTTCACTGCTGGCAGTTTCCTAAATGATCCATGCCTTTTTCTCTCTTCCTATGCACAGACTTAGACCTGGCCCTCTATCTCCTTGAGGCATAAAGATAAGTTCCAGTGGAGGCAACAGAAAGGGGAACCTTAAGAGCTATTATATATTTTGCCTTTCAGAGCTAAATTCATTGGAACTTATTCAAAGAACAAAACATTCCTGCTCATTATAAATACAAATATGAATTTAAACTAGGAAAGATCTTGATGGTTAATATTTACTATAAAAGATGGTTGTATTTAACTTTATATTGTCCTCAACATCCTGACTTTGTTCTCCTGAACAACCTTCTTAATATATTATTCTTGAATGTATTCTGCTCATGAACAATATTACTCTAGAAAGAAATATAGCTCTTATATGACAGTGATGGTCTTGGTATGTTCACTTAGTAAGATCTTAAGAGGATAAGCCTGATTTTCCAATCCTCTGTAACCTGTTTATATACAACCTTGCATCATGCATTTTTGTAGTCTATTTAGCTTTTATGTTGTCTATCTAGCTTCTCCAGAACACAAATATATTTAAAATGGTTTGGCACATGGCATTGAATAAAAAGCATGAATTCTTTATGCATTTTAGGGACTGCCAAGATAACATTGTATAGGAAAAATGATTAGTATAGATGCAAGATGAATGTAAATTATCATGAGGGTGAATAACTGACAGATCTATGTTCTATATTCACTATTTCCAATTTTAGGTGTGTGTTCTTGTGCAGGTGAAAATAGGAGTTCATTTTAAAATAAACATTCTTGCTTTTAGAGACTCGAAATTTCGTTATAATGCTATATGAAATTTTAACATTTGTATTTGCTATGTTAAATCATAAAGCAATTTATAGCTTTCAATCTTAATAGGATTGTTTGCTGGTTCTTTAAATTTTGTTCTCAGCATAATCACCAAATCTCAAACCCTGCTGACTCCCTCTCTCTCAGCAAATGGCCTTGCCTCTGATTTTGGACAGATCAGTGAGGCTTAAACTCTGACTTTCCTGCCCCAGCCCCACTCCTATACTCTGCTAGCTTCAAATTTATCTCCATTTATGCCCATATTCCACTCCTGTTTAAATGGTGCCTCTACTGTCAATCAAAGCCTCTACTGTCAATCAAAGGAAATCCCCTAAACTCATGTTAGAGTTCTAGATTTCTATACTTCTTCATTGGTTATTCTCTTTCTCATTTAGATCTACCTGATTTTCTCTGTCATTTCCACCACCTCATTCCTCTAAAATAATCAAATAAAATACCTCCTTTAACTTTGTTTTGCCCTCTCTTTCCAGCCGTCTCTCTTTCCACCTTCTAAGTCAAGCTTCTCAAACATGCTTTACCTCATCCTCTCCCACTCCCTCTCACTCTCTAATTCCCACTATAATCTTGTTTTTAATTCCCTTAGTCTTTGAGTTGCCAAAGCCAAGGGACATTAACAACTTATAACACTTAATCTCTCAGAGTTTCCATTTCCCTCAACTTTAAAATGAAGGTAACGTGCATGGAAGAATTAAATGAAATAACACATGTGAAGGAGTAGATAGCACTTGGTATCTGAGGAGGCAGTAAAAAATGTAGACTCCTTTCTCTTCTCTTTCACTTTCCCTATGTGCTCACCGTTGGCACTCTTGTTACCTGGCTTTGACTATTACGATAAAATATGTGAGAAGATGTTAGTTCTTGGTTGGTACAGAGGTTCAATGAAACGGGAGTCATTCCATCAGAGTCCAAAGAGATCCCAAATGGTCACATGATACGTTTTATTTATCCTCTTTTTAAATTCAAGCAGCAATTGCAATTCAGGATCAGAAGGGAGGGTATGTGTAGGAGAGATTTAGTGAGCCTTAATCTTAGGAGAGGAATGGGAGGGTAAAGGCTAAAATGACTTCCAGTTAACTTCTCAAATGAGAGCTGAAAAATGCTCGTTAGGAATCATTAATCTAAGAAATTTGTGAGATGCTGTAACTTTTTAAAATTCATCAGACTCTGATTTTACCAAAAATAAAAAAAATTCTCAAAACGTTCATTTTTTAATAATAAGGTCCCTTACATATATTTTCTAGGGCAGAAATGAAGGGACAAACTTGAAAGTCCAATTTTGGAGGAAGTAAACTCTCAGGGGAATGAATTTGTAATGGATGCTACACAAGGAAAGAAAAAAAAATAGGAATCCTTACCTGTAATGGGTTGACATGTGTCCCCCCAAAAGACATACCCAAGTCCTAACCCCCGTATCTGTAAATGTGATCTCATCTGGGAATAGGGTCTTTGAAGATCTAATTACGTTAAGGATCTTGAGTTAAGATCACCCTGAATTTAGTGTGAGCCCAAAAGCCAACAACTGATATCCTCATAAGAGAAAGGAGAGAGAGATTTGGCACACAGAGACAGGGGAGAAGGCCATCTGAATATGGACAAAAAGATTGGAGTTAGGCTTCAATAAGCCAAGGAATGCCAAGAATTGCCAGTAGCCACTAGGAAGCAAGCGAGAGGCATGGAACAGGCTCTTCCTCAGAGCCTCCAGAAGGAACCAACCCTGCGGACACCCGACTTCAGATTTTTAGCCTACAGAATAACAAGAGAATAAATTTCTGTTTTAAGCCACCCAGTTTAAAGTTATTTGTTGTGGCAACCCTAGGAAACCAATGTTCCACCATGGTCTTAAACATGTCCCTAAGAATTGAGGGGTTATCCCAAGTAAAATAACTAACCAATGCCTGCCTCAAACCCTTTTTGATTTCCAGATCACATGTCTGTCTGTGAAGCTTCTCTGCTTGAACGTCTCAGGAGTACCTGAAGTGCAGCATGCCTAGCACACAATTCATCATCTTCCCACTGCCTCTATCTGCTCTTTCTATATTAGAAAGACCACAGACC